ATCAACAAATATGCACCAATCAGATCTCTTCGATGAATCAAACTAATTTCAATACGTGTAATATTTTAAAGTAAAAATATACGTTAAAGTTAGATTAGAAATTATATTAGAGCGCAGAATGTGGTTTCATAGTCGACAGTTTTTTAAAAATTGTGATTTTCACAGCAGATTCTCGATTTTGATTGGCTAAGAGTGATGAACAACAAATTTGGACAGAATTACTTAGAATTCTACTAACGTAGCCACAGTTCCTGGGCCAATTTTACCATAATGTGGCCAGAAATTTCTATTTTTGTAATGAAAAAAAATCAAAAGTTAATTACAGCCAGAAATTAGCAGATCTGTGGCCGTTAACAATTTTGTGTCGATCGTTTGAAGAAATCTGATTGGTGCATATTTGACTGTTTTATTTAAAATATACATATGCACTTGCTATTAGAACCAAAAAAAAACATAAAATGCTAATTTCGCGCATCTATAAATTGGTTCGGGTCGGGTTGACCCGACCCGATTCGGAGCACTATTAGCAACCAATCAATTTATATATATAATATATGGACGTGATGGGATCCCGATATAAAAAATTTTACTACGGAACGGATTACTACACTATAACGAGAGTGACTTGTATACAGTTTTTACATATCGATATCAGATATTTTTGTATTCTCTATATTAATCATCTCTAAGTCGATATTTTGAAAGATCGGTTGACTTAGTCAGCTAAGTCGATTTTAACTACGATCACTACAGATAACATTTATTAATCATATACTGTAAATAACGAAATTATAATTTATCAATTTATTCACATTTTGTAAAACATAATGACGCGTTAGTCCCTCCAAATCCAAATGAATTGGTTAATGCCGCTCTAATACCAGGATGTTGCTGCGCATCTAATGGGACGTAATTAAAAGATAAAAAATCTGATGCTGGATCGCCAGGATTGTAGAGATTTAGAGTTGGTGGAAGAATATTCTATCAATTAAATAAAAATTAGAAATCTTTTTGTAAAAAAAAAGCTCTGAATAATTAATAACTTACATTATATAATGCCAAAATAGTAAATATGCCTTCAGCAGCACCAGCAGCTCCTAATAAGTGTCCTATGGAACCTTTGCTCGATGATACTGCTAATTTGTGAGATGCACTTGATGATTCAAAAATGGACTTGATTGCTCGATTTTCAGCAATATCCCCTAAAAAAATTTTTTTTATTAGTCTTTATGTTGACTTTTAAAATATAACGCGAGAAATTAAATACCTAATAAGGTTGATGTAGCATGGGCATTAATATAATCAATATCTTTTGGAGACAATTTAGCATTGTTTAATGCTCTTCGCATAGCTAATTCTGCTCCAGCTCCATTTTCTAATGGAGCTGTCATATGATATGCATCGCCTATTGTGATAAACTAATGCATGAGTAATGTCATAACGAATGAAATAACCACATTCATCTTATTCATGTTATTCATTTTTACCTGATAATCCATAACCTCGAATTTCAGCATACATGCGTGCACCTCTATTTTTCGCATGATTATATTCCTATGTTAAAAAAAAAAAAAAAGTTAGATAATAAACTAATTAGATAAATGCATAAAAGTAACAGTTGACTAACCTCAAGTAAAACGACTCCAGCACCTTCACTAATGACAAATCCATCTCGATCTCGATCAAATGGTCTTGAAGCCTCTTCTGGCCTATCATTATACTTAGTGGCTAATGATTTTGCTCTGCTCCATAGTAAAAAAATAAATAAATTATTATTCACCCCCCAAAAAAAGTATATATTTATTAAATAACTCACTTTGCAAATCCTGCGATAGTTAAAGGTAATACACAAGCTTCTGATCCACCGGCAATCATAACATCCGCATCTCCAAATTGAATAAATCTACTTGCGTCACCAATAGCATGTGCCCCAGTTGTACATGCTGTAGATACTGCGTGATTTGGTCCCTTTAAAATATTATAAAGTTATATTAACATGATTTAACCAGAAATTGAGAAGAAATTGAGATAACTTACACGAAATCCATACTTCATCGTTAAGTGACCTGTCGCCATATTTATTAATATTTTTGGCACAAACATTGGGCTTACCTTCTTCGGTCCCTTTATACACGTATTTCAATTGTTAATATCAATTCAAAATAATAATAATAATAATAATAATTGATGAATCGACTTACATAATTTTCAAATATCATAGCATTCGAGATAACATCTTCAAGACTCCCGATTCCTGATCCTATGCACACCCCCTATTTATAGATCATCTTTTATATTTATATAACAATTTTTTGTAACGAATTTTCTTTATAACCACATACAGTTCGCTCTTTTTCAAAATCTGATGTTGGTGCCCATTCAGCATCATTCAAAGCTTGTTTAGCTGCGCAAATTGCATATTGAGTAAATAAAGCCATTTTTCTTTCATCCTAAAATTATTTTAAAGAAACTATTAATATTAATACCTTTGATTTAAAAAAAAAATCACTAATCTAACTTCATTTTTAATTTACCCCAGGATCTAACCATTCTTTTGGATCAAATCCTCCTTCATCATATTTTCCTGGTTTTACCTTTCCAGCAACAGTTGATGATAACTCATTAAATTTTCCCTCCTCTTTTTCTTCAAGAGTACTTGATTTTAAAGATATTATACCACATTCGCTATTGATTAATTTTTTCCATGATGATTTTACACCAGTTGATAAAGGTGTAACTAAGCCTAAACCTGTTATTACCACCCTACGGGAAGACATTTCTTCTGATATAAAAAGATCGGTTTCGTCTTGATTTTCTTGATTATGCGGTGATGTGACACAATAGGAAATTTTTTAAAGTGTCACATGAATGTGGATGTGAAGAGCTTGTACCCGTTATAAATTTGAGCTCATCTTAAATTATCCGGGTAACCCGGTTGACCCGTTTCACTTATATGTAATTTTTTAGTATGTAATAATATAAATTTTAATGAATTTTAAAATATATAGCAAATCAATGAATTAGATAAAAATATTGAAACGGTTAATCTAACAATGAAGGAATCTCTAGCTTGTTCGACTATAGTAAACATTTTTAAACTACCTAGTTTGTCTGAAATAATTGCTAATTAATTTGAAATATCAACTTATCTGAAGTAATAGCAACTTAATCAAGTATAAT